TAGCAATATATTATGCACTTTGTTTTTAATATACAACTGTCAACTAACTGATACCGTTGACCGTAAAAATAACAATATAACTCTTATACACGAATCAAACTTATTTGTTAGATTTGTTATTTGTATTCGTTGTAGCCTTGTAGGYAATGATGTTCAAAAATTAGGAAAAAATAGAAAAAAATAGGGTAAGAGGGTGACGCTCTGTTGTTGATTAGGTAGCTGTTTATTGAGAAGTCGCTGTAATAATGGATTAAATATATTATAAATATAAATATTCGAATCTCGTGATCCACGCTATCCGAAATAGGTTGAAATTGAAGGTACGAACACTCCACGTCCACGAGTCTCAAGGAATCTACTATTATCTACTATTCTACTGATATAACTTTTATTAATGTTGAACACGTTTCGCGTGACACACGGGCACGGTGCGCAACGATCCATACTAATATATAAAAATTAAAAAGTGATAATAGCACTTGGTTAAACATTCCAGTATCATAGCCAGGAGTTGCGCATGGGACCTCTCCTTCACAATAAAAATATAAAATATCTGGCTATGTCATTGTTTATAACCATCCGTGAACAACCATTTAGACAAGACAAATATATTGAAGAAATATKACCTCAATTATTATTGGTTTGAAATCGATATTACACGAACACGATCACAACAGCTAGACGTACAAAAGAATTGCCTATATTATAAAGATATATTGTTGTTATTTTCAAAAGCACCAACTAATGTAAGAGTGATTAACTATAACATAACAAGTTTGCATCACTGTTATTTATGAATTTCTAACTCAAAATAATATGCATGCAGACATTCGTGAAATGATTAGAACTAGTATTTATCATACTATGTCCATTTTTATAAATTACTAGTTGAACCTGTGCACTTCGTATAGTTCGTTAAAAATCCTYCCTTTTATATGTCTCAAACTGTGTGTTAAATTCGTTTCCTGTGATTATGCTAGYAATATACTTTTATACATATAGATAAAGAATGGTTAAAATATACTAAGTAATAATCTTACAACGATATTCAATTTAGTTTATCATTATGCAATTTTATTCGTTTTATCGAGAAAAGTTTGACAATTCAAATATTCAATTGAATGGTATTTGGGCGTATCASTTTTTAACTATTAGCCTACCTTCTGCACATAGGTGTAATATATTATATTTGTACCATATTTCGTTGAAATATAACTGTATTTAATATACAGTATTGAAGTGCATTTGGATACAGAATATTTTTTGTTCTTCCTTCTGGTGGGTATACAAATAAATCAGGTTTTCCRACGCATGTGCATGCCACATACAGCTGTCCATGTAAGAAGCATAGATTTTCTAAATTCAGTCTTCACACTTAAAGCGATAAAAGTCCTCACACTTAAAGCGATATAAGTCCTCACCCTATACGCCTTGTGCTTTGTTGATGGCCATTGCAAAAGTGWGTCGCGYCGGAAACTGCAAACGTTAGAATTCAAAAGGCATATTGAAAGGCTATTGGAATCATTGGGATGCGATCATTTTGGCCTTTAAACTTTCCATTTAAAATTTTAGCTTCGATGTTGATGTTCATCAATTTTTTCACTGAAATTCTAGTACCGCTACAGAGTCGTGGTGGATTGATGTCTCGTAGAAGAATGATGGGCACTCTAAATTTCAATTTTGGAACGTGTAATGGCATGCCTGGCAAATCAAGTGAATTTAAGAATTCAGTTGGATATTTAACAACTTCACCTTAATTCATTACGATATTGATGGACTGGTACGTTGTCGTGTTGCCTKGAATTTCGTTTAGAATAGTGATATTGATTGTACTCACATCATGGTTTTTGGTTGCCAATATAGCCCGTCCACTGAGCATCTGACAATTCTGTAATTTTGTGTTAGATTTKGAAAAACTTTGTCAATTAACTCTTTTGTTATTGTTACTATGATTTTACAGAAATTATTTGGAAAGGTGATGCATTGTGTTGATTCATCGATCGTTAGTTTCCCATTCCCCATTTCCAGCAATTGTTTTGCGGAACCGTCAGCTGATACATCATCATTTTGTATAATATGTACACGAATATTTTAGACATAAGGGACCATACAATTACAAATACACCGATAATAATAAGCCATAACAATCGTAAACTCGATAGGTGGCCCTCAATATTTTTTATTGAACATTTAAGAAATTATATTTTGAGATTTGAGATGAAAATCAATAGTTGCTTTTGGTTAYAGCATACAGATTATGGAATATAATAGTCATAGGAGAAAGATAAATTATTGTATTTTAATCGCTAATTGCAGAAAGTGATCCACTTAGAATATTACCACTTTTCATATTAGTCGCTACAACCTAAATAATTGTTATAGTTYTCGAACTAAGAATCAATAAAAAAAAAAATAATAATAATGTTATTGTATAGTCTTTATAATCAATGCTCATGCATTTAAACAAAAACAAATTTTTGTCCGGACAACGCTGATTGGGGAGGGAGGCAAATATTATTTTAATAAATACATAACTACGAATCAACTATTATTATTATTATTATTTATTTTTTGTTAGGAGAACCCGCGCAACATAGGCCATTGGGTAGGGGTTATTTTTGTATGTTTGTTTGTAGATTTTTAAGTGGGTAGGGTTGTAACACGTGTTTGTGTATGTGTGGCAAGGATATGTTGCTAAAAATCCCGGGTGGTCACCCATCCGGGAGCAGGCGACTGCGGCCGGTACGTACGCTCAGTGCGTTTCCGCAGATTGAGCGTATGACCGCGCCTCACCAAGCCACCAACTATTATTATTTTCAATAGAAATCTTAAATATATCGTTAATTTGAATATATCCATTGGCTGTCAATAAAAGCGTTCTAAAAATGTCAAAAAAAGTTTTTATTTGCAGGCCTGACATTTGGCGCTATAAGTGCTGTCGGAATATTGTATCATTACATTACCAAGCGGAAGCAATTATCAAATGATAATCACGATCAAATTGTACAGGTGATCAAAATATTTATTTATTTTAATTTTTACAGTCTGTATAAATGGACACTTAGAGGGTTAGGTTGGCTAAATTAAAGGTAAAAACTATGTGTAATGCAGTTGGTATATGAGATTACTTATTTTATACAACTAAATCTTGATAGTATCTTTTCTATTAATAGGACGGTGGTGAAAAGGACGAATCGTCGGGAAGAAGAATTGAAATAATTGAAAATAATTTGCTGACAATAATTCAGGGATATAATATATTATAATATAAAGGAATATACAATAATAATAAACAACCATTTATAAAACAACAAAAGTTTATTTTAACTATAAAAAAAGCATCAAAAATTATTGAAATGTGTAAATAATAAACTTATCATAATGAAATTATTTTTTATATTTATATACCAATTTTTTATATCATATATTCATATGTATTTCTGGTAGGAACAGACTGATAAGGACTGAATAAAAATGCAGCACGTA